TCGCTGTGAACACAGTGGCGTGCAGACCTATGTAGATGCCCGGGTCCAACTCAAGAGGAAGATGATGCCCTCATACTATATATATATATATATATATATATATATATATATATATATATATATATATATATATATATATATATATATATATATATATATATATATATATATATATATATATATATAATTATAATTATAATTATGTATATAAAGCTTAAATAATTAAAAATGCAAATAGAGAAGCATGTTTTAAAAATTGTACTTATCTAGATGAAAACATTGATTACAGCTAAATCCCAAGAATGAACTACTCAAATGTATGAATGGGTGGAACTTCGGGGAGGGGAAACTTCTTCTTCTTCTTCGTTCTTAATTATTAGTGTTGAAGGGGATCGAGATTTATCTGCCAGTGGGTTTGAACTCGAGACTTTGTTCGAATTTATCAACCATGAGCTATTTGCCGACTCGACCACGCCTCCAACACAATTAAGCGTTACGTGTCAACAGAGCCGGCGTTAGGAATACGCGGGGCCTATGGCCAACCATCCGCGCGGGGCCTCTCCATTATATATATATATATATATATATATATATATATATATATATATATATATATATATGTATAAAGGCCTATGTAATGTGATGTACACATAATAACACAAATGTTTTGGAGTTTATAACCTAATGCCAAACTTTCCACTATAATAACAGATTTTTATCTCTCCCATGTATTAACCCAATGTTCGTAGTTTTTTTTCCTTTGCTAAGATATTAAATCACTTTTGACAGTTATGTAATTCATACCAAATCACTTAAGAAAATTTAATCACGTGCCGAATATTTAGGAAAATAAAGTTTACAATACAGCGAACTTGGCCTGATGTATCAAAACAGTATAAACTTCAAAATTTGTTTAGAATTCATACAATATTTTAAAGAAAAAAGTCTGGAAAAACACTGTACATATACGACATTATACGACATTTACAACAAGAAAGTCAGGACTAGAGTTCATCAGGTCACAACTGTCTACTACAGACATCCCGTCTGCTCACTAAAAGGATTTCTTCATGGGTCCGCATACAATAGGGTATCTCTTTACGTCGTAGGCTAATTCTCGACCGCCATCTCCAGTCAGCTCAGGTCAAATGCCAGGCGACCGTACCCTACACAAAGGGGAGGTGTGACACTGTTTTTGTATCGAATTACGGCCTGTCCCAGTTCAGGTGGGACTCACCAACATCAACCGTGGACTCAGTTATAACAATCAGCATCGTCGGCATTCGACCATTTAGTTTTTCCCAATTGAATTCAGCAACAATTTTTTTTTAAGTTTACGAACTAATTCAGATAACACTGACATTGCTGAAGCGCGGGGCCCCTTCAAGCGCGGGGCCTATGGCGACCGCCCCGTTCGCCACCCCCTAACGCCGGCTCTGCGTGTCAACTGGTTATGCGCCATTGAGGCCATTGACTCCGATTTCAGACTGCTTTTCTTTTTGGATTTGCTTCCATAGCCTTTGTCCAACCAAGAACAAACTACAAGGCAGCAGTTGTTTAATTTTGGAGTTGTCTCTCCTAGAGAAGAGTGGCTGTCCCCAGCTAATGAGCCTCGTCTGCCCGTGGATTCGAACTCGAGACTTTTCGGTTTAGCAACCAAGAGCTTTGCCGACTCGACCACGCCGACCCCAGGAGGGGAAACAGTTTGGGACGTGTTGGGGGGGGGGGGGGGGGGGTTCTATGCCATGCCCTACAAACGAGTCTCATCCGGTATTGTATTACCGTACAGGACCTCGGCCACAAAAAATGTCCGTGTCTACAATTAGGGCGTCATATACGCCTTTATTTATGGGCTGCTTCTCTCTTGGCCTGTTCGGGAATCCCTATAGTGCAATTAATACAGTTGAGAGTGTGCAATTGAACTAGAGATGTTTCACATTTGTATCTCTAAGTTAAGCCACTCGGTCAAAAGGTCAATGCTTCAAGGAGATGTGATGCTAGATACTCTCAAACTGTTTGAACCTTGAATATAACAGACGTGAACATTGGTTAGCTAAAAGCTGCCACTCCTACCATACCTTACAACCTCAAAATAAACAAAAAAAAAACCCCACTTTTACATCGGTGGGTGTCTAACCATCCACTGTGCTATGTCAGACCCTCCCTACAACTAAGTCCGTGTTTTCCCAAATTTAACACCCAGGTAACGCCTTCCTATCAAATTACTCCCTGTCCATTTCAGGTGGGGGATAATTCACTAACGGTGAGCCCAAAAATAGACACAATGATGATGGGTATAATTTACTGAATGAATGCACTTGGAGTGTAATATATGAATATAAGCATAATTACTTTCGAGATGCCGTTACCATATATAAAATGACAATGGCTTACTTACTATATGGATGCCTTTAAAATGTAAGTTAAAGCGAAGTGGGCATATTACTGGATGCCCTTAAAATATAATATAATGGATATATAAATAATTACTTTAAAGATGCCCCTACAGTCTATAAAAATAAATGTGGATATAATTACGGAGGTCTTTGAAAATTAATATGACGAATATGGGCATAATTAGTTTAAAGATGCCCCTATAGTGTATAGGAATTATATAGGCAAAATTACTCTTATGCCCTTACATTATAATAAATAAATATCACACACACACACATATATATATATATATATATATATATATATATATATATATATATATATATATATATATATATATATACAGGGGCGTAGCGAGGGGGGGGGGGGCGGGGGGTGCGGACCGCACCGGGTGACACCATTTAGGGGGGTGACACCAAGGCAAAAAATGGCAAAATATATAGAGAAACACTTGAGGGGGGGGGGGGTGCAAATCGAAAGTTTGAGGGGGGGGGGGGTGCAAATCGAAAACTTGAAAGTTTGTCCCCGGTAAGGGTCGCAACGCCTCTGGGGGGGGGGGGGTGACACCATTAAGTGCCGCACCGGGTGACACCCGACCTCGCTACGCCACTGTATATATATATATATATATATATATATATATATATATATATATATATATATATATATATATATATATATATATATATATATCGGAATATTAATGACTACCATAATTATTGCGATACAGACTGTATAATGTCAAAAAGAGGGATTGACAATTGAGTATTTGTTATAGGTGAGATTGGCAAATCAATTAATCAGTCTGCATCGTTTTTACTTTCTCGTATATACGTAGTATAGAGAAAGTATTGTAATCGTGCAAAAAAAAAAAAAAAATCGAGATTTTTACAAATCTCGACGTTTTACACCTCACTGATACGGAAAAACATAATTTTGCAATCTTGTCCGTATGTCTGTGTGTGTGTGTGTGTCTGTCTGTCTGTCTGTCTGTCCGTGTGTAAACACGATAACTTGAGTACCGTTACAGCTAGGTTGATGAAATTTCATATATAAGTATTTTATCAAAATCGTAGATCCGTATCAACTTTTGAGCGATTTCCGATAACCGGAAGTGGTACTTTTCCTACTTTGAATTTTTTAAAAGCCTATAACTTGAGTACTATTTCAGATAGATAAATGAAATTTCACATGTAAGTAAAAGATCTAATTCTCTACCTTCTGTTAAATTTTGAGTAATTTCCGTTGACAGGAAGTAGTAATTTACGCTACTTCCGATTTCTCAAAAAACTAATGTAAATTTTAAAAGTACTAATAATATTGCGCACTATTATACACACCTTTATTAGGCGTTCGCTTGGTGCGCAATTGTTTTTTTACTGAGATTCTATTCTATTTTTAAAAGTTTTAGTATTTAAAATGGATTAAAAATCATAACTATATCCCCAGTTACCATCCCCTTGTTGTTTTATATAAGAATATTCGAGAAAGTTTAGGGGAGATCACTACCGGTTTATTTAATTAAAAAAAAAACAACAACAACCTTCCTTTGGATGCCTCCTGGAGTGGATGCCCGGGGCCTGCCCCCCCCCCCCTCTGCAAGCCACTGTGTGTACATCGGCAGTTTATTAATAAAACTTGAATTATGTGTTAACATTTTTTATACTCGTAGAGTTTCTTCCAGGCATCTCTTCGGGGGGGGGGGGGGGGGGGGGGGGCTAAGCCCCCCGAACAATTTTTACCGCCCCCCGAACGAAATGAAATTTATATAATTTATATAGAAAATATATACTTTTAACAGTGTCCGCCCCCCCCCGAAGACAGTCTACCGCCCCCGCCCCCCCCCCCCGAAAATTTCAAGTGCCCCCCCCCCCGGAGAAAAAAGTCTGTAAGAAACACTGCTCGTAGACTGTAATGGGTTTATTAAATGGAAAATAAATGGGTTTTTTAACACTAAGCCTTATAATGTGTGCTTACGAAATTCTATCGCACATTATCGGACAAGTTGTACATAGAATATATAAAATTATATATATATATATATATATATATATATATATATATATATATATATATATATATATATATATATATATATATATATATATATATATATATATATATATATATATAATATATATATATATATATAAACTAAAACAATTATCATATTGCGAGCATTGTTTTTGTGAAATGAAATTGTTTCTGGTTTGAAATATGTGTCCATTCGGGTCAAGGTACAATACTCAAGAAAGTACAATTTGTTTTACACATTAAAAACTAAAACTCGGTTGTGTGCCTTCACAGTTACAGTTTATTTAGATCTATTTTTGACGAAACGGAATGTTATGGGTTTCCATTAGTCAAATTTCCCGATAAGAAACAAAAGCAAAAATTATCAACTTTTTTTCTTTTGCAGTAAAATTAATTAGATTTAGTTGTTTTCAATATATTATATAATTTTTAAAAGGCTTGTTGATATATTTCTTTACCAAATAAGACCTTAAAATATACGATATTTCAATAATAAATGTTGACCTCTGCCCCGGAAGTTGATTCAATTTGTTTCTCTATTTTTACCTTTATAAAACCTCGTCACTTGACAGACTGCTAGTCTACTTTACAGTAAAAGAAAAGGAAACCTGTTGACATCGTTCAGAATTTTAAAACATTTCATAACACAGATGTCATGTTTTCGAATTTAATTCTAAATGTTATGCGTAGAATAAAATAAAAGTCACCAATGAGGACTAAAGAATTAAATAAGAGTCTTATTAAGATGAATGCAAATTTACCAAACGAGCTAAAAACATTTGTTGGTAATGCAAGTCGTCTGAAACAAATTCTTTTTGAGACTAAGAAATGCTTTGAAGACATCAATAATTCTGGGCGTTTTGATGGCAGTAAGTTGCAGATTTAGAATCTAGATAGATCTAACTAACTAAATAAAAGGCACAATAATAAAAGGCTACTACAATAGACTACATCTTAGTGAATTTTACTATTAACTACTTATTATTACTTAATATTAACTAGATCTCGAGATCTATAACTTTCAATTTTACTTGATCCTCTAGATCAGGGGTCTCCAAACTATGGCCCGTGGGTAAAATCACGATATAGCGTCGGTTATTATTCCGGAACTGTACAGCAGTAAAAAACAGTAAAACCATGGCGTAGTCTGTCGAGCCGTTCCGGAAACCACCGGAAATACTGTAAACCATCATTTATTTTCCGCCATATTATTTTTAGTACATAATGTTTAAAAATGTGCAAGGATTGATTTTAGTTGCGTTTTAAATAGGCCCTACTGTTTTGCTAATTATTTTGTATTTCTAATTATTTTAAGTGTATGTGCTAATTATTGCTGCTACTAAACATTATTCTAGTTATTCTTACTACTTTTAACTTTAGTTAATCTAGCCTAATCGTCTTATTTACTAACATAACTAGAGGTGGTTGTCGCAAATCTTCTGCAGGTTTTTTCTGTTTCTTAAAAAAAACATTAATTACTACACTCGACTTTATTAATAATATTTAGATTTACTAATTGTTGCTAATTTTTCGTCAGTTAAACATTAAATTAAGTTAAAACATTAATTTAATGCACTTGACTTTATTTTTCTTTCACCGGTCAAATAAAGTATGGTTTACAGTAACGAATGTTACCGAAACTCAACGAACATTACCCAATAATTTCCGACGCTATATCGTGATTTTACCGGCCCGTGGGCCGGATGCGGCCCGCGAAGTCCTCTCATCCGGCCCGCGGAGATCTTTTTGTCCACTGACAAACCGTTTGTTGGGGATGGCTGAGGAACTTCGCCCAGAAAAATCAAAGACATGCCTGGAAGAAACTGGCCCCCGAAGTGAAATTTGATCGTTAATGTGGCCCTCGGACTAAAAAGTTTGGAGACCCCTGCTCTAGATCTAAATATTAGATCTAGGGTACTTAGGTCTAGGGGTCATCCATAAAACGCGAAATAACGGCTAAAACTCGTTTTCTAACATTGCATTTTTTAATGCAAAAGTTAAAGTGTGACGTCACACCATCTGAACCCCCTCCCTCCCCCTCATCACACACTCAAAAAATTACGGACCCCTCCTCCCTACAAGTGTGACATCAATTATGTACGATCTCCCTAATACTTAATATTATTAAATAACTATTAATAATTAATACTTAAATAAAAATAATAGGCCTTAGCTTTAGTTAACCTGAGCATAGAGTCTATAGTCTATCTAGTATAAGGGCCTATAGTATATAATTATAGTAGCAGATTGTTACTGATTGAACTAAGGCACACCCACAAAGTAAAGCAGATTGAAGTTTGTGTAAACAAGCATTTATATGGCACAAAACATTTTGATGTATAATTAATTGTGTTGTAGAAAATACCCTCCAATAATACAATTTAGGACAAAGAAGAAATACTTAAGTAAAGTCATTCACAGAACAATTAGAAGAAATACTTAAGTATAAGTCATTCACAGAACAATTACACCAACAAAAAATTCAGTAGGGCATCCAATTTTACCTGACAGTATCACTAAAAGTGTTCAGTTCACACCCATAGGTGAAACTGTATAAGTAAAGTTTTGGGACTGTTTTCAGTAATTGATCAGTCAGTGGTCATTATTAGGACTTGTGGTATCAACAGTGCTAACTGACGGTACTTTTCCATTCATTATTAATATCCAAACATTAGTAAAGTCAAACTTATAGCAGTGACTCATTCACTTTGTTTTTCCATTTTGAACTTAACGATATGAACGCTGTAAATCAATACACACTTTTTTTCCATCATTGATTAAAAATTGAAGAGAGTAAACTGTATAGCATGAAGCTAACACATTGGATTCTGTTCCTTCTACTCCCAATATTCATTTTATTTCTCTAGTCCCAACAACTAAGCATTACTATATTGTAAATAACTTTTATGTTGCAAACTATAGTGGTTCTTATATTAGAAAATTAAAGCATTATTTTTCATCATGTAATCCAGTGACTTTTTTGTTTTGAAAATTTCAGCTCAGATAATTGATGCAGAGTTGTTGAAAGAAGAGGAACTTGAAATTACATCATTGATAAAAAATCCTCCCACCATCGTTATCTTTGGTCAAACACCATATGCAAAGTCTCGCATTGTAAATGAACTCTTCAGCAAAAACATCTTCCCCCCACTGGAAGAAAACTCGGATGTAAAGCTTCGAATGGTGAGAATCTTCCATGGAGATAAAAATAGTCTGAGCTTGACCTTGCCAGATGATTTTGATCTGGTTGACAACCTGGAGGCTTACAATGGCCCATGGAACACCATACCCAGGGCAGACCTGGAGATCCCCGCAGGCAACAAGTCTGACGAGGCCAGTGGACTTGCTGTCATGGAGGTTACCCAGAACCACCCCCTCCTCCAGTTTGGTGCTCACATTGTTGTCTCACCCTCCCATCAGGAGGACCAGTTTGAGGACATTGTCAAGAAATGCATTGAGAATGCCACGCCCATAATTGTCTATGGCTTTGCTAGTGATATGCTCAATGAAGTGGTAAGTTTTTTGTGCAATGTGAGTTTTTATAGAATATCAAGGATGTAGTAGGGTTAAAGTGATATGCTGGCCACAGTATTAGGTCCTTAAATCTTTAGTTCATGTGTTGACTGACCCCAGCTGTCCTTACATCTGTAGTTGACATGTCCCCTGACCACTGGGCTGGTTGCATCATTAGGTCAAGTGTTTCATAACTAGAGCTCATTCCTCTTGTGGTGGATGAAGTGTTTGTCTATCTTGTTGTAGCCTGTTATCTGCTGGCCTCTTGTTTCCTTCATGACTCAGCTAATCAAACAACCCAAGTTGTACACACCCAGGTCTAGTGGGCAGTGAAGAGAGAAAATATTGCCTTAAAGACCACACAACACACTTGCTGTCCCGTGTAACTCATGAATGGCCGTGTTGTGTTCTACTGGCAGTGTGTTGTATACCTTGAGTGTTGACATAGTTACAGGGTAAAAAAAAACACAGATGGCATCCTGCTGCTAATTAATGACCTGTGTCAGTTTAAACCACCATAGGTGTAGGTGCACATCCACTCATGTGATTCTAGATTAAAGCACCAGTAGGTGTACATCCACTCATGTGATTCTAGATTAAACCACCAGTAGGTGCACATCCACTCATGTGATTCTAGATTAAACCACCAGTAGGTGTACATCCACTCATGTGATTCTAGATTAAACCACCAGTAGGTGTACATCCACTCATGTGATTCTAGATTAAACCACCAGTAGGTGTACATCCACTCATGTGATTCTAGATTAAAGCACCAGTAGGTGTACATCCACTCATGTGATTCTAGATTAAACCACCAGTAGGTGTACATCCACTCATGTGATTCTAGATTAAACCACCAGTAGGTGTACATCCACTCATGTGATTCTAGATTAAAGCACCAGTAGGTGTACATCCACTCATGTGATTCTAGATTAAAGCACCAGTAGGTGTACATCCACTCATGTGATTCTAGATTAAACCAAGCAATACAGCTGAGCCTAAGGAAGCTGGCCACTACTTGTCTATCTGACTCTATCATGTACCCCACTGTCTTGTCATCTTCTTTAGTATTCATTCTTTGTTTTACTTGGTGACAGCGCAGTTATAGAACATGGATATGTTTTATGTTGTCTGTTACTGTAGTCAGCACATGATTCCTTCGAATACTAAGAGCTTTATCCATGTTTAAATAAAATAAACTGAAACTAAAATCTAGTTCAGTTTATTTTGAATAATAGACAGAGCAACTAGTTCTGAAGTATCTCTACACTAATTAGTAGAACATATCTCTGCTCAGGTAATATACCCTCAATGCAGTCATGTCAAGCATTTACGATGTATGTTTAGGTAATTCACTTCTAAAATACATTCCTTCGCAAGTGGTTACCGAAATTCCCATTAGTACGTTAAAAAAATTCTTTAAATAAGTAAACCTAAGAAGTATTGACATTTTAGGTATACATAGTTTCATTCCTTTGGAATACATTTATATATATATATATATATATATATATATATATATATATATATATATATATATATATATATATATATATATATATATATATATATATATAAAGCTCAATTCTGTATGTAAAAATAAATATGTTTGTCGTTGACATACTTCGATGGATTAAAGTGTTAGACTATTACCGTGCGCATTTGTCTAAATTTATGAGTTAAAAAATTACTATTGAAAGTGTTGGGAAGTAATTTTCATTTTTCAAACTGATAGTAATAATTGTCGGCATGTTCATTAAACACAATTTTTAAAAAATAACAAAAGTTCTAATTATGTCTGAAAATTATTTATATTTAGTTCTTTAGCACTTACTTCCCTTTGATAAATTAGGAAAACACAATTACTTCCCTTTATAAAACATTTCATTAGTGGAATAGAATTTACTTTTTATTACTTTGTTTTGGTGTTGGGAAAAAAATAATTACATAATTAGCGGGGATTGATCAAGTGCAAATGTTGTAGGTATTTTACGGATAAGCTTGGAGTATTATAATTGTTCATTAGATTGAAATGTTTATGTTCGCGTTAGTGTTTTCTTTGTGTTTAGGTGGGTTTGCGTTAGTGGTTGCGTTTTGATTTGGTTAGTTTTTGTTCTTTCTTTTTTCGTTTTTGTTTGTGTTTTTTCTTTGGGTTTGTATTTGTGTTTTTGGTTGGTTTTGCGTTTGGATTTGGTTTGTTTTCGTTTGCTTTTTCATTGTTTTTTTTGTGTTGGTATTGGTGTTTGTGGTTGTGGTTGGGTTTGTTGTTAGGTTTTTGTTTTCGTTTGCTTTTTTGTTTGTTTTTTCTTTGTGTTTGTATTGGTGTTTGTGGTTATGGTTGGGTTTGTTGTTAGGTTTTTGTTTTCGTTTGTATTTGTAATTGTGTTAGCGTTATGTTTGCGTTTTGTTGTTTTGGTTTTGGTTGGTTGTGGTTTGGTTGGGCAATGCCGGGTTTATGATGATTACTAAACACACAGGTAATGGTCTTTAACAGAAAGTTTTTTACAGAAGCCAAAGCAGGGCCTGGCCGGGACGGCTAGTATATATATATATATATATATATATATATATATATATATATATATATATATATATATATATATATATATATATATATATATATATATATATATATATATATATATATATACATACATATTTATTTCTATTCCTATCCATTTTATAGGTAGGGGAGGGGATGGTAATTGCTACAGGGGTAATAGTGTAGTGGAGATGTCAGTAGAGGGGGAAGGGGGGGGGGACTAGACCTGATCAGTCTATTTGTTAGTCTTGTTTCACTTGGGTCACTCTACCAGTCCTAGTCACAAGTCACTCTCTCAGTCACAAGTCACTCTCTCAGTCATATGTCACTCTCTGTCACAAGTCACTCTCAGTCACAAGTCACTATCTTAGTCACTAGTTACTCTCTCAGTCACTAGTTACTCTCTCGCAGTTACATGTCACTCTCTGTCACAAGTCACTTTTTCAGTCACAAATCACTCTGTCAGTCACAAGTCACTCTCTCAGTCACAAGTCACTCTCTCAGTCACAAGTCACTCTCTCAGTCACAAGTCACTCTCTCAGTCACAAGTCACTCTCTCAGTCACAAGTCACTGTCTCAGTCACAAGTCACTCTCTCAGTCACAAGTCACTCTCTCAGTCACAAGTCACTCTCTCAGTCACAAGTCACTCTCTCAGTCACAAGTCACTCTCTCAGTCACAAGTCACTGTCTCAGTCACAAGTCACTCTCTCAGTCACAAGTCACTCTCTCAGTCACATGATACTCTCTGTCACAAGTCACTCTCTCACTCACAAGTCACTCTCTCAGTCACATGATACTCTCTGTCACAAGTCACTCTCTCAGTCACAAGTCACTATCTCAGTCACATGTCACTCTCTCAGTAATAAGTCACTCTTTCAGTCACAAATCACTCTGCCAGTCAAAAGTCACTCTGTCAGTCACAAGTCACTATCTCAGTCACATGTCACTCTCTCAGTAATAAGTCACTCTCTCAGTCACAAATCACTGTCTGTCACAAGTCACTCAGTCATAAGTCACTCTCTCAGTCATAAGTCACCGAGTCATGCGTCACTCTGAAGCTTTAAAATTGTTTGACTTTATGATTAAGACAAAATGTCAAAACACTCCAATTGTTTTCAAACAATCTTTATAAGGCCAACAGGCACCATGTATGTTAGGTGTCAGGTGCATAGTTAGCGTGCACTAGAGACTGTATGTATTACATAGGTGTTGGACCTTGGTCCCTATGGGAACATTGTAACCTGCCGCCCATGTTCACTCAGCAAGGTCAGTCAGCCCTACACTCTAGTGGTCCACCCAAGGTCATGGTCAGCCCTAAACTTGGGTGGACCACTGGAGCTTAGGGCTGACTGTGACCTTGGGTGGACCACTAGAGCTTAGGGCTGACCGTGACCTTGGGTGGACCACTAGAGCTTAGGGCTGACCGTGACCTTGGGTGGACCACTAGAGCTTAGGGCTGACTGTGACCTTGGGTGGACCACTAGAGCTTAGGGCTGACCATGACCTTGGGTGGACCACTAGAGCTTAGGGCTGACCATGACCTTAGGTGGACCACTAGAGCTTAGGGCTGACCATGACCTTGGGTGGACCACTAGAGCTTAGGGCTGACCGTGACCTTGGGTGGACCACTAGAGCTTAAAGCAGACTGTGACCTTGGGTGGACCACTAGAGCTTAGGGCTGACCATGACCTTGGATGGACCACTAGAGCTTAGGGCTGATCATGACCTTGGGTGGACCACTAGAGCTTAGGGCTGACCATGACCTTGGGTGGACCACTAGAGCTTAGGGCTGACCGTGACCTTGGGTGGACCACTAGAGCTTAAAGCAGACTGTGACCTTGGGTGGACCACTAGAGCTTAGGGCTGACCATGACCTTGGGTGGACCACTAGAGCTTAGGGCTGACCATGACCTTGGGTGGACCACTAGAGCTTAGGGCTGACCATGACCTTGGGTGGACCACTAGAGCTTAGGGCTGACCATGACCTTGGGTGGACCACACCAATGGTGTTCTGATGTTTGCATCTCGTGACCTTGTTATTTAGAGCAGGGTGACCGTGTTGACTCCCAGACTGACTCATCCGTCCATTTGACGGCCTGTTGACGTAGTCACGTGACCAGCCGGCACTCATCCACCAGGTGTAACCTCTTTGTTCACCTGGCACAGTGGCCAGACGACAACTACCAGTACAACTTACTCATCCTTTGCTTTATTCCGTCTGAACTATTGAGGTGGAAAGTTCTCGTTCGTTGACCTCGTCACAAGCTGTTTGTGTACCACCCTACTGGGGTTTGGTATTTTTGTAGTGGCCCCTATGTATCATGTCGTGACTGTCTGGTGGGTGTATGCATCAAACTGTACAAAAGTACCCCATTCCCCCCCCCCCCCCCCCCCCCCCCCACATTACCCGATGTTAAAAAAACAATTGTTTTCTGATTATGTCACTTTATTGTCAAG